GACAGTGTGGGCTGTAGCCCACTGGTGGGGCTTGCCGTTGACCTTTGAAGTTAGCTGAGCCCAGAAGGAGTGCCTTGTGTGCTCTAAGAAGGACTTAAACCGGGTCCCACAGCAACATGGGACAATAGTAAGGGGGCCGATACCCATTGTCAGGTGGCAGATAGACAACCTGGGGTCTCTGCCCATATCAGAAGGATATTGGTATGCCATGACTTGTGTGGACATGGCTTCTGGACTGTTGGTTGCTTTTCCTGCATGTTGTGCAGATCAGCAAACCACCAAGAGGGCCTAGAGTGTCTCTTTGCAGCCTATGGCCGGCCGCAGGTGATTGAGAGCAATCAAGGCACTCACTTTACTGGACATGCATTACAAGGATGGGTGCAGCAATTAGGAATAAACTGGAAGTTTCATGTATCATATAACTACTGGGGCAGGCATCATAAAGAGGTACAATGGTTTTTTGAAATCTGGCCTGAAGTCATATATCAATAGTCCACGTGGCTGGTCAGTTTGCTTATGGACAGTGCTACAGCATTTGAATGAGAAGCTCTGAAAAATGGCCTTGAGCCCTGTGGACATGCTAATACATATTGTTGCCTCTCCTATACTACTGTATATGCAAACCAAAGAGGAGTCATTGAAGCCAGGATATGGCCAGCAGAGCAACATCCTGCTGCCAGCCCCTACTGCATTAAGCCCTGGAGACTGTTGAGCGGATGTGGCCCTAGACATTCTGACATGTGGATGAGCGATGACTGGCCCTTCTGGCACCTTGAGGAAAAAGCCTAGAAGCTGGCCTCCTGTGTGTTTCTGTAGTAACAGCAGAATGGCCTGCAAAGATCATGGTAGTGTACCGAAAAAGGCTGGGAGGTAAGAGTATCTTAAAGGGAAGTTTTATCTTTAGAGCCAGTGCATGTACCTCCTGTAGCCCTATATATTGACACATCTGTAACTCCCATGAGGAGGTGGGTGAAGGTCTGGTATATTAGCCCAGGATGAGATCCCATTCCTGCCACTGTCCTATCACAGGACCAATCTCTTGCATGCATCCTACCTGATGGACAAGATTTGCCTAGCTGGTGTCATTAAAACATGTATCTTATTGCCCTTAAGTTAATTTTTTTCTACAGTTCCTATGGCCTACACCTGCCCCCTGGCTGCAGCTCCCATGTGATGAGTGCACTGAACTCCCTACCCATTCAGTGACTGGCCTCCTATGGAATGGGGTGAGCTGTGGACTTAATCTGCATAGGACTTTGAACCTATCTGAATTCTCTGGCTTGAGGATTATCATGATTTTTTTGATGTTGTTTTTGTATGTTATTAGTCTGTTAATAAAACTGGAGTTATTAGCTCCAGTTTTCTCACACAGGGGCCATTGTGGAAGATGGGGAGTGAGTAGATTGTGAGGCGAGATTTCTCGAGGGGTGGGTTGTGGTAAAATTGCAATAGTTCCAGAATCTGTCATCTGGCCTTAGTGCATCTCCATATCAATAAGTGTTACTAAGGGGTAGAGAGAAGTAGTCCATCTCCATATCAATAGGTGATTACAAGTGGGGTGGGGAGTGAGGGCACACCTGGACCAGAGAGGTTTGGTGGGTTCCTTTTGCAGTAGGGTCACGAGAGACATACATGAGCAGAAGTTGTCAACTGTTTGTACGCAATAAATAGATTTCTCCCAGTTTATTTTTCTCTTTTACTGATTACAGCTTCAAAGGTTCTTTGACCTGGGCTGGGAACATATTCCCCTTCCAACCCACCCTGGAGGTTGGAAATAATATTCCAACTGGCAATTATTTCTAGATACTCTTGGAAAGAACTTAAGGGACAATAAATCTTGGCTATATAGTCTAGTCATTCCAAGTTCTCTTCTTTTTCACACATTCATAACCTGAAAAATATCCCAGTGACAAAGTAAAGAACCCTCTTAAACTTATACTCAGTAATGATAATAAGAAATAAGGGTCCATTGTTCGCCCTAAGTACCAACTCAGAAAAAGGAGATCATCTGGAGTCTATCATCTGTTGTAGCCTCAAGTGCAACTACGAAATTCAAAAGTTTTCGTGACTCATCTTTTTTAACTGGGTGCAGTTCCCCCAAAGTTTAGGAAGGGAAATCATCTTTACCAAGTCTTCACCAAGAAGCCAAAAGGTATCAGGACTGCTAAACCCAGAGGATGATAAAGTCACCCCTCAGTTGGCCACTGTGGAGAGAGCCATTGAGCTTATAAATTCCAGGAACATTTACTAAGCACCTACCATGTTCTGAGCACCATGAGAGACCCTTACTTGCATTGTTACATTTTCCAGTTTATAGTTCTCTGCCTTTTCTCAAACAGAAAAGTATCAAATATTCTATTACACTGTTACTGATTGGCAAAAAGACAAAACAGGACCCAAATGGAGTCACTCACATTAAGCAAAGCCATCAAACACAGGCTTAATACCCAATGTAAATGCATTTTCAATCTCCCCCAGAAATGTAGTCTTAACTGGCCAGTCAGGGATTTTCCAGTCAGCACCATGAGGTAATCTGGTGTTAACAGCACTTGGGGGATGGTCCCCCCCAAGAAGAGGCACCCCCTCAATAAGACCCCTGCTCTTTCCCCTAAGGGAAAGTGACCTGGGCTGAAATAATCCTATTTTGCTAAAAAATTATTGCCCCATTCTCCTTCCTATATAATCCTTCCATTTTGTATAACTCCTTGGGGCATCTCTCAGCTTGCTAGGGGGATGCTGACTGATTCATGAATCATTTAAGAAAGCCACTCAGATCTTCAAATTTACTTGGTTGAATTTTGTCTTTCAGTGTGATAAAATAACAAGTTATACCTATGACAACGGGCATATAGTGACTCACACCATGCACTGGACATTACCATAAAGCACCTTATCTGCATTATGTAATTCTGTCTTCATAAACGTTCATGAGGTGGCTTGGATCCTTATCTCTATGTGAGAGATGGAGACCCTGGGAGTTGCATACAGGTAGGCAACGTGCTAACAGCACCATCGGGAGGAAGGCAGAGGACCCAGACTCCACTCCAGGTCTGCATGACTGCAGAGTTCACACTTGGCCCTCCACACCTTAAGGCTGCCCACACATGTAGCAGGTTTTATACATATTATCTGATGTAAAGCTCAAAATGAGAGAAAGTTAAACTCTCAAATCAACACATAAAGATAAAACTTCTTCCTGTGGTTGTCTTAAAAGCAAAAGCCAAAAACTAAATTAAAACAACACCCTGAACCCATGTAAAGAAGAGGAATGTGTGAACAGAGGAAAACACTAAAAATTTTGCAGTGCCTATCCAATATTACCCATGAGCACTTCAGTCACTACAGAGAATATTATTAGTTTAGGAAGACTCATTATAACCTGGAGGGAATGCCCTTTTTAGCTCTAATTTCATAATCACAAAGCACAAGAATATAATTACAAATGTAATTTCTTGGATATCTTGAACATGAGAAGCAGATTCGTAGAAAAAATGTAAGTACTCTAACCATTGGAAAAAGATGTCCACCCTTGCAAGTATAAAATGCCATGTATCTGTATCATGCCATATGAACTTAGCTTGTGTCAAATAAGTTGTCATAAGATTATTATCAGAAACTTGATCATTTCTGGGTGATTTAATCAAGTCTGGTTTCTATGCCCACTGGGCCAAGGAATAAATGTACCAAGTAAACTTATGAAGTTAATAATGTCAACTTATGAAGCTATTTGGCAATCAGCTGGTTTTTTCCTGGGTCACCCACTCTCCCTCATTGTGCCTGATTTCTTTCTATGGTCCCACAAAGTGAGTGAGACAAGTGATGCTCATAGAGGTTTAGGAATGTGTTTAGTTCTGCACAGCTGATACAATGAATTCTAGAAGCAGAGGAACAGATGTAACATCCAAGAATTGTCCAGGTGACCTGGACATGTTCTTTCTACCTGCCACAAACTACAAAGACCTTGGGTGATATGGGAGTCCTCTGTTCTCAGTGCCTGAGTAGGGACCCCACATTGGCTCTTCTTGAGAGCTTTATTTCTTATCCTCACAGCTAAGCAGTTAAAAATACTTTGAAATGTCTCCCCTGCCTTTCCTTTAACATTTTTGCCCTTTCTCTTGCCTCCCTGCCACCGCCGCCCACTAAATGCTTGATGCAGCAGGATGAGGATGAGGACCACGATTAGGATTACATGCACTTGTAAAGTCCATTAGTCATGGGGGTGACAGTACAGCAGAGGAAATACAGTCAATGATATTGTAATATCTTTGTATGTTAACAGATGGTAACTACACTTACCGTGGTGAACATTTAGTAATGCATATGGTTGCTGAATAGTGATGTTGTACAACTAAAACCAATATAATATTATATATCAACTATATTCCATTAAAAATGATTAATTTGTGGAAAAAAAGGGAGAGAAGTGGGGGAGAATGAGGACCCTCCTTGCCGTTTTTCTTCTGAACTAGTCATGGATTGTTTCTGGCTCTAGCCTGCCTTCAGTTCTCTCCCCGCATGCTGACAGCATCCACTTTGCCTGTTATTTTTAGCTGGTGCTTGGTCCAATCTGTTAAGTCCTGACCATGGAAGGTACTGAAGTGACATCAGTGACAGCATGCATCCCAGCAAGCCTCGTTGCCACGGTCACGGTCAGCCTTTCTAGACTTCTGTTTTATTAATGTTAAAAAATGACTCTTCTCACTTAACCAAATTCTAGCAGACAGAACTTCAACCCTCAATCTTCCACCGCCCTCTCCCAGACAGAGCCATCCAGATGAAAGGACTTTGGGATGTTGGCTCAGATGGGAAAATGTGGCCTTGGTTAAACTGCCACTCCCTAATAAACTTTCTCTGGATGGAATACTCATCCAACATGTAAGTCACATGACACTCCCTTTTACAATACAGTCCTTACCATGTGGCAAATGCAAAATACTGCAAATGATACAATTTTTCAAATTCTTTTCTTAAAAATAAAGTAAAAATAAATGGGTATTCACCTGGAACAAAGCTTCCCTGGACCACCTCCTTGTACGCCCACCAGCCTTCATGGATTTTTGGTGAATTCTGTTGAGCTAAAGAAAAAAACAAGGAAAAGAGATTAAGGTGATTGAAGAGAAGCATTGTGTCCTGGCCAAGTAAGAAGGATGATTACACATAAAATAATCCTTTTCTACCCAAAAGTCACATTACAAAATGCAAGAGCGATTTCCCAATAGATTATTCTCCCAAATAGATGATTAATCTGTAAATATATTGTCATGAGCTTTATAAAAAATAGTATTTCGATTGAAAAGGAATAGTAATCACGCATTTCAGCCTATTTGAATTTCCCTGTCATTTGTCTTTACCTCTGACTCTCCTGTGTACCTGCCCCTAAACACACACACACACACACACACACACACACACACACACACAGATATACCCTCTCTGCTGGAATTGAGAAGAGGAGGTTGACCCCATCCACGAGCCAGGCAAGAACCCAACAAGTACGTGGAATCTTTAGGGATGGACAGATAGTGAGTCTGATGAAAAAGAAAAGGCTAAGCTAGCAGAGGGACTGTGTAATCAGTCAGCTTTCCTGGGGGCCCAGGAAAATGAAAACTAGAAAATAATTAATCGCAGGGAGGACTTTGGACATCTGAGAGTGAAAGGGTGGAAAGCTCAAGAAATCGGGACTTACTATAGGGACCTGTGAGATCACAATGGACATGACCTCAGGACAATCCTTGACATTTATGACAGCTGATGGGTGGACCGGGGTAGTTCCATTGCACATGCATATACACTCCAAAGCACAGGTGACACATAAACTTCTGTAGATCCCTTTACTAATTAAACTGCTTTCATATTTCAGCTCTCAGTCACATTGGAGAAAAATAAGGTAATTTCAACCGAACTTGTAATTAGGCCAGTATTCAGCAAATGTTAAACCTTTAGTTTATTTTCCAGACTCTTTCTTCAGGCTCATTTTGGGTTAAAGAGAATGGACCAACAAAATGGGTTGGAAAGCAAAGCTGTGTCTAGAGAGAGGATTTGCTAAATTCTTTTAGCTTCTATATGAGTTTAAATTGCTTATCTCCAGGTATCTTTCTATAGAATAGAGAAGATACTTTTTCTCTTTATGACATTGAGACCCCTGAGGCTTGCAGCTCTATGATGGAGGGTTTATGACACAGTATGAGTAGAAGAGAACCCCACATATTCTGGAGCTGACAGTGGGATTCAGGGACTTCAGAAACAAATAAAAGAGAGACAAAGAACTCTGGAATTTAAGATTCTGGAAAGATAACACCTTTCAAGTTGCCCAGAACAGATCTAGGGCATGGATGCTTCTAAGTGCACTGGATTCCCCAGTATTCTGACTTCTCTTGTGGAATGGACAGAGCTCAGATATTCCCACAGCCCTTGAGAGAGATTCTTGTGGTGGCTGAGTTGAAAGCCAGTTCATCTCTTCTTGGACAGGGGAAGGGACCTCAAAGCAGAGGCTGGAGAGGTTTTGACTAGCCAGGGAGCCTAGAGAAATGGTTAACTGAGACTCCAGATTATTTGCAGCTGGGAAAGACAAGGAGCTATGTCAGCCAAGAGACTTTTAGGCTTGGTCAAATCGAGAAACCAGATCAAGAGTTGTGTGGTTGCAAAATTCACCAAGTAGGTAGACAAAGGACATTTCTGTAGAGTTCAGAATGATTCTGATTCTTCCTCTTGGCCTAGACTTTGCATGACCCCCGCATCCTCCCTCCCAAGTCACTGGAGGGTCATCACAGGAGCACGAGGGGAATCCAAAAGGCTTAGAAATCTGCGAGATCAAATGTTACCTAAGATCCAGTGGCCCTTTCCTGAAATAAACACTGTGCACTACTCTCCTTGAAATAATTAAATAAAATTCATGGACACTACATCCTACTGATAAAAAAAAAACAACTCTGATATTTCAGTAAACTTAAATCTAGGTCTGCTGGACATGGAGCATGTGCCTAGCATGGAAAGATACACATTTCTGAAAGCCCAGAACTACGGACATCACCTAAGAGTTTTGTATCAAAGTTAAGCCAGGACTGTTTTTCCTTATCAAAGACAGGAATTTCTAAGCTTTATCAAAACTCACCAAATTATCCAGTCAAGATTGTTGCCTGTTACTGAACAATTTAAACCATAAATAGAGTATTCTCACTATTCTCAGAGCCAGTTGTTGTGAAAGTCACACTTTCTTGCATATACTTCATCATCACAATTGAACACCTACATAGCACTCAAAAGCTTTTGCTTTATATTAAAATTTTTTATCAAGTTGCATTACAAAAGTTTTGCTTACGGTATTTGCATACATTCATTTAAAAAACCAACATGTGCTTAAACTATAATATAAAAGAGAAATAAGAGAAACATAATTTATAATAATATATATTTCAATGTATAGATGTTTAACCATGATGCACTACCAGAGGGATTGTGAAAATATAATCTGCTAGCCAAAGATGGTCCATTGGCTGTTTTTGTACTGCTCAAATGTTGACAATAGCTTTATTTTTAAATAGCTGAAAAAAATAGTATCTTGTGACATGTGAAAATTATATGAAATGCAAATACCAGGGGCCATAAGTAAAGTTTCATTAGAACACAGCCATGTTCATTTATTTAGGTATTATCTATAGCTGCTTTCTCACTGCAGTAGCACAGCTGAATAACTGCAAGACAGACATTTGGTCAACACGGCCTAAAATGTTCCCTATCTGGCTCTTTATAGAACAAGTTTGCTGACTGCTAATTTACACAAGTAATTTCAACAATCAATATGATCAATATAATCCTTTAACTTTAATATAAAGGAAAAGGCAAAGAACATAATTTATAATAAAATATTATCTATTTCAATGAGTAAATACTTGGATATGATGTACTAGAAGATAAAATAAAGACATTAGATATTTGACTGAAACAGGTACAAACAATGTGGTTGTATTGTATTGGTGATTCCAGACTCCACAAATGGCAGGCATTGCTCTCAGTGGTGTGATGTTCTAAAATAGTAAACAACTCTTGGCAAAGTTTGAAACAAAATAAAGCACCACCTTCCTTTGACTTACACAGTATTTGTATTGCTTAAAAACAGGGTATATTAAAACTATGAAGAGATACCTTGTGTTTATATGCAAAATGGAGTCTGTAGGCTCAGATAAATAAAACAGTTTTTCATTCACTTGAACGTCTACTGGGACATGGGACAATTTATCACTGTTCAGAACTGTCTAACACAATACACACATATTCTCCACCCCCCTCAGTTGTTGCCAACTGCAACCTCTTTCATTAAAACCATCTTAAGTTGCCCACTCCTTTCTAAAACAATCCCCCAGGAACAGTGACACCCCTCTTGGTGACTGCTGACACAAAGGGAATATTTATAGCATTATTTATATGTGCTAAAGGAGATAGGGTAAAAAGTTGAACATTAATCAGAGGGAATGTTTTAGTAAATAGATAAAAGAGACATCTTTCTCTATATGTCTGAATTGTAGTGTTGAGTCCCCTTGCTATCCCATTATACATTCAAATATTTTCTTTCTACTTTTTCTTGCCATTTGACCATATGTCCTTAAGAAACTGTCACTTCCATCAAAGGATAAAACGAGGAGCAAAAGTAAAGCAAAGATGCTCGCTCTTAGGATGGCACAAAGGGAAAGCTAATTCTAATACAATCCTGAGTAAAATGACTAGTTTTCAGATTTTTAAATACTTTCATATATTCTCTTTCTTCTCTCTTGTAGGCACACTCTTATACATAGACACATACACACACACCTATAAGACCTATCTGTCTGACTTAAGCATCAGTTTAAGAAATGCCATTTAAAAAGTAGAAGCTCCTGGCTAATTAAGAGTGTTGCAATTGACAAAATTATCACCTAAAGCCTCTATTCCATCCAGAAAGTTGCAAAAACATTTTTCCCTCTCCCCACCTCCAATCCTTGCTTCTCTATCACCCTATCTATTCAGAAGGGGAAGTACATAGGATTTTCAGCAGGTGGCCAGACAATCAGACCATCTGAATAAAATTTGTTACCATGATCAAACCACAGAGCTTCTGTTCGCTTTCTCTGACAAGCATTGTGAAGGACCCCAATTCACCCTGCAAAAATCAATCAGCATGCCAGGGCCCATTGGAGGTCTACCAATGATCTAATATGACACCTGAAGGCTAGTGGTTAAGAAAATGAAGGCATTTTATGTAATATGTTTCCCAATGCCCTTATATGCCTAGTCTGGCCTCCTACTGTTTGGCAATTTGTAAAGATAGGACAGCACATTTAAAAGGCAGCTCATTTAAAATTCCACTACGATATACCAGCAGCTTATTTGTGGTGGAGCACCGAGGGAAGTTCTGGCTGTCCATTTTAACACCTCCCAGACAGATCCTCAATAGTCATCTTGTTGCTGTTTATATCCAATTTCCAGTGAGTGTAGAGCCGACTGAGATTTCCTCAGAGCAAACAGGTGGACAGAAAGCAGCCTTATCTTTTGCAGCATTCCTGGTTTCTCCTTGCCTGTGGAACTCGGGATTTCTTTACTTTATGTGCAACCAGCCCCTGGGAAAAATCCAGGTGTCTAATAAAAAAAAATTGTGTTGACAGTAAAAGCTGTACCAGATGAGAAGATATACATAACAAGGCCTCCTCTCTTGATAGTAAAGAAAACATATTTCAGTCTTCTTTTCCTTTTTTCATTGTGGCAGTTTGAGAACTTGAGAGTTTCAAAAGAAAATGCAGAATCCCAGGATTTGGAAAGAGATACAGAGTTCACTGCTACCATCTATTCTTGGACATAAAAGGAAACTGAGGCCCAGAGAAGGGATGCCTATCTTAGAACAGGAGTTAGTAGGCTTCTTCTATAAATATTGTAGGCTTTGAAGGCCATACTGTCCCTGTTCCAACCACTTATCCCTGTCACTGTAACACAAATGGAGCTGAGCACAATATAGAAATTAATGGGTGTGGCTGTGTGCCAATTATATTTACGAACACAGACAGAGGGCTGGATTTGACCTGCTGTGGACAGCAATTTGCAGATCCCT